GTAGATGCTTGGAGTGGCTCGGTTGATAGGTGGTTGGAGTGGCTCGGTAGGTAGGTGCTTGAGTCGCTCGGTCGGTAGGTGTTTGGATTCAGTGGGTCAGTAGGTGCTTGGAGTAGCAGGGTGGGTAGGTGATTGGAGTGGCACGGTGGGTAGGTGCTTGGAGTGGCTCAGTGGGTAGGTGCTTGGAGTGGCTCGGTGGGTAGGTGGTTAGAGCGGCTCGGTCGGTAGCTGGCTGGAGCGGCTCGGTCAGTAGGTGCTTGGAGTGGATCGATAGGTAGGTGCTTTGAGTCGCTCGGTTGGTAGGTGCTTCGAGAGCCTCGGTCGGTAGGTGCTTGGAGTTGATCAGCAAGTAGATGCTTGGATTTACTCGGTCGGTAGGTGCTTGGAGTGAATTGCTGGGTAGGTGCTTGGAGTGGCCCAATCGGTATAGGTGCTTGGAGTGGCCCAATCGGTATAGGTGCTTGGAGTGACTCAGTCGGTAAGAACTTGGAGTGGGTCGCTGGGGAGGCGCTTGGAGTGGCTCGGTCAGTACGTGCTTGGAGTGGCTCCGTCGGTAGGTGCTTGGAATGGCTCGGTCGGTATATGTGCTTGTAGCTTCGTCGGTATAGGTTCTTGGAGTGGCTCGGTCAGTACAGGTGCACGGAGTTGCTCGGTGGGTAGGTGCTTGGAGTGGCACGGTGGGTAGGTGCTTGGACTGGCTCATTGGGTAGGTGCTTGGATTTACTCCGTGGGTATGTACTTGGAGTGGCTCGGTGGGTAGGTGCTTGGAGTCGCTCAGTGGGTAGGAACTTGGAGTGGCCCTGTCGGTATAAGTGTTTGGAGTGGCTCTGTCGGTATAGGTGTTTGGAGTAGCCTTGTCGGTATAGGTGCGTAAAGTGGCTTGGTTGGTAGAGACTTGGAATGGCTCACTGGGGAGGTGCTTGGAGTGGCTCAGTCGGTAGATGTTTGGATTGGCTCAGTCGGTAGGTGCTTGGAATGGCTCGGTTAGACCATGTGCTTGGAGTGGCTTGGTCGGTATAGGTGCTTCGAGTGGCTCGGTTGGTATAGGTGCTTGGAGTGGCT